GGGGGGGGGGCAGAGAACTGTATTTTTCTTTTATTTGGAATATCTAAGCTTAGGATTTCTCAGAACATCATTTGAGGTTCCTCACAGAAACTAGAGAACTCCTGACTAGTTTATACAGCTACTTAGCTGCTACCAGCATTTAAAGATAGTTAATTATTTATACTAACAAGGAAATAATTTCAATCATTAATTGCAGCTGTTTCATACTCCTCCTCCCTAAAAACACTGAGCAATTGTGTCTCCTGAGGGAAAGAAAAAAAAAACAACCAACCAAACAAAACAGGGGAAAAGTTTAAGAGGTGACTGAAAGCAGTTATGGTATAAAAAAACCCCAACAGATAAATGTGGGACCACCTTATTTTTATTTTAGAATTTTTGATTCGTGAAAATTGAGAAGTCATTTGTGAGCAAACAAACAAATCTTTCCAATGCAGCAGTCCAAAACAAATCCACGTGCTGTGGCCCATGCATTAAAAAAAAAAAATCCAAAACCACACAGATGCCATCCAATTAAATTACGATTTTTTTTTTTTCCTCCATCCAGTACAGTTCACAGTAGTTCTGGTTCCTACCACTTGACCGGGCTTTGCCCTCGTGACTGTTCTGTCTTCACATAAGTGTCATACAGTTCTCTCAAATGCAACAACAGTTCCTCTAGGTTGTCTCCTGTCAATGCAGACAGTGCAATGACCCGGTCATCTATCTGTTCTTTAAGGAGTGGCAGATTGATCCTGGACTGAGCAAGGTCAATCTTATTCCCGATGACAACACAAGGCCTCTGAGACAATCCTTCTTTATATTGCTCCAGTTCATATTTTAAGTCTTGCAGCTGAATCCATGGCTGAGACACAGAGAGATCCAGCACATATAGGAGAAAGCGGCAGCGTTCAATATGCCTTAAGAAGGCTATTCCAAGGCCTCTATTTTGATGAGCACCTTTGATTAGGCCAGGAATGTCAGCAACTACAATGAGAGAAATTTCACAGTGAATCCAACATATCCAACAAAACAAAAAAACCCAGTCATTTACTGACCAGTACATGTACCTTTAGAATTACATCTCAATGCATCATCCTAAGTTTGGCTGCTATTATCTCTTAAAACCCCTAAATTTAGATTATTCCAGTGAAGACAGAACACAGATTGCTAGTTTGATATAAGGGCACATATAAGTGAATCTGAAATGGGCTTTCAGCATTGTTTTGTTTGAAGTTCTTTAGAACGAGCAAGAATTCTACAGAAGTACTAAACTTACTTCTGCAGCAATTCAAAGACTAACGCAGGTGATGCAAATTGCTATCAAGGTACACACAACATACTACAAAATCTTACCTGCTACTTGTTCGTAGTCTTGATAGTGGACAATGCCAACATGGGGATTTAGGGTTGTGAAAGGGTAGGCAGCCACTGCTGGCTTTGCCCTGGAGATTGCTCTCAAAAGTGATGATTTGCCAGCATTGGGAAAGCCCACCTGGAATACAAACTCATTAAAGCCCCAGCGGTTGATTAATCCTGATAAAAAGAACTGTAAGCTTTTGCAGATGTGGCAAGGTTCTTCCAGCACGACTATTACAACATTAATTTTGTGTACTTAGTTCTGAAAAGCCTCCTGGTTCCCCTTTTTTTGTTTCTCCTAAGCTCTGTTTTATTTATATGTGTATTTTCTCATAAATAAACTTTTTTTTGTGCCATCTTAAGTATTGACTTTGTTCAGAGTCAAAAGGGTATATACCATAAGATCTCTTTTACCCCGAAATAATGTTACGACACCGTGTCTTGCACTTCCCATTTTATCTGTGTTCTCCAACTCTGATTCATTATTTCCCAAAATAATTCAGAACTGTTACTGATTCAGTAACATAGTTTGGCCTGCGAGTAACCAGAATGCCTGCAAATCTGGGATTTTACAGCTCTTCATAGACTCAATGTCGAAGAACTAAATTGAAACTTGGCTTTCTGGGAAGACAAGAATTTAAACAAACCTATCCCAGAAATGAAGTTACTATGAGATATCCTATATGATAGCCATACAATTGGTCAATAATACTCAGATGAAAGTAGATCAAATCCTAAATTCTCCTATTTGCTGATGTCACACACTCTGAATTCTTGAGTAAGTGAAGTGCAAAACAGATTCATCTCAGATTTCCAAATTAGTGCCAAAAATGTGAGAAGTGGACCAGAGTGTCCAGCTGGTCAGAGAATTAAGTGTATTGATCCACCAATGCCAACTCTTTTCTTAGTCTCTAATTAAATTCACAAAATTCTGCTAGATAAGACAGTTATTCTGCAGTTGTTGAACTACAGCAAGAACTCTTTGCAGCAAAGCATAATTTTAACTGCTTTACCAGCTGGTGCTAAAACATTTCCATACTTAAGAACGAAAACAGCTTAAGCCCTAAATTGACTCAGCATTCATGTTTAAATAGTATTTTCATTTCAGAAGATGCTAAATCTGGAACTAACAAAGTAAAATGTTTAGTATGTGTAAAAAGAGAAATAAAGGGATAAAATAGAAGATGATTTGAACTTTATCAATTTCCTTTAAAAAAATAAAGAGGAAAACAGAAATTAATTTATAAGAACTCTCCATACTGTACCGTTCATCTGCAGAACCAGCAAAGTCTGCTGTACATCATCAGTGAGTCTATTAATCACTGATGAATCTTGTACATTGCTTTCCTATATATAGTGTTGGTTTTAGCAAAAGTAGGATGACGTCAAATAGCAAGAGAGTGACAGCTCTGCAAATCACTTTAGACACCCTTCTACCAAGTAACATCAAGAAAGCATTGAGTTGCATCTCTAAACAAGCACGCAAAAAGGCTAACAAAAATGTTATCAAACATTATTTCTTCAGTCAGTCAAGTGTCATCCTACAACGATAAAGAAGTTGGAAGGACCACAGCGACACTCACCAATCCTGCATGAGCTGTTGTCTTGAGTTCCAGATGGAGGACCCTTTCCTGACCTGGCTCTCCTGGAGTAAATAATGTTGGAGCTCGGTTCTCATTGGAAAGAAAAAAGCGATTACCTTTCCCTCCAGCTCCTCCATAAGCTGCAACATACTCTTCACCATGTCGAGCGAGGTCAGCCACAACTTTCCCATCCTCCTTCACCAATGTACCTACAGGGACCTTAAAGTGAGGAGAGATGCAAGCATTACACTTGAAGGTCAAAGTCTGCAGCACAGCTGTCTTCAGCAGATCCTTCACCAGCTGATTTTAGATTTGTTGAAAATCAGTCCTCCATATCCTCAAGCTGGGGAATCCAAAAATAGAAGTGTACTTCATGAGGATCGCTTTCTGGACCCAAACGGCACTGATAGACATGTACACTTCATTAAGATGTTAACAGCACTATAACCTTCTTTCTCTCCTTTTATGCAAAGAAGCCTAAGCATAGTAGTGAGCTAAGAAACGTATTTTAGGTGTGCACCAGAACAGGCATGTTGAGGAAAGAAAAAAGTTTACTCCTATTTAAGAAGTTCTGTGTTGTCATTGCTCTAGGCATATGACCCCTAGAAGTAAAGCAAATCAGAACGGTATTTATTTTGGCCAGATGTACCTTCCAAAGAAGTCCAATTTTTACAAACAATTTAAAGCAGCTTCATCTGCCTGTGTGCCAACCAGCTCTGTCTCAGCAGAGACAGCACCCAAGGCTCCCTGAAAAGAAATCACATGAGATTTTCTCACAATAAGGTCATCCAGCTTGAAAATGTGAATTTTGTTAATACAAAGCTAACACACTAGCATGCAACCTTAATCTACTTACTTTAACATACATATATGCACCATTAGCTCCATAACAGTTTTTGCTTCCTCCTTTCTCTCCATGAAAACCCTGGTAGAAGGGGAGGACTGAAGAAAGTGATTTCATTTGCCTGTCAGCTGTAAAGCACAATACGCATATTTTAAACTCATTGCATTAGCAGAACAGACACAGAAAAGCAAGCTTTTGACTGTTCTTTTCCTTTGTGAATATTGCATAAATGCACATCCTATTTACTGTCTCAATAGTAACATATCAGGAAAAACTAACATTAATGTAAGTTATGATGAAGTCTAACAGCCTTTACTTAGGTTTATTAACCACGGGCTTTATTATGTGGTCATTCCAAAATCAACTGTTACAAAATACTCTGGAAAATTCATTTGCTAGATTAGCAGATTTTGCAGCAGGGTGACGTCAGAAGCAGCTTTATCCACCTTAAGGGTAAAATTTGATCAGAACCCAGCCTTATTACAACATAGTCATGCACTAGCCACTAAAAAGCCTGCAAAATATCTCGATTTTCAAAATGCTTTCTAAGGCTGTCAGTGTCATTTATGTCCCTGTTGCCACAGCTCAGGACAAAGCTTAAAAAGCAAAGACATCTTATACAGAAACAACCAATTTGACATTTACCAGCTCCCACCATAGAGTGTGTTGTAGGGTTTTTGCTGGGGGTGAGGTGTTAAGTGATAAGACAACATGAAACAAAAGAGATTTAATGAGTTTTACCTTTCAAAATGACGTGACCCCCATCACCTCCATTTCCACCATCTGGACCTCCAAATATTTTTCGGGGTTCACTATAAAAAGAATGACCCCCTCCTCCTCCTTGTCCTCCAACCACACGCACTTTCCGGTGATCCACAAAATAGCGTGTCTGTAACAAGGATGGGTTTTGTACCCTTTAAGTACAGTTTATCAGAGTCATCTTCCAACAAGTTGATTGTTCTACAAAACTTAGTAATATGCAGACCTGTTATGTCATGAGTTCTATTCAACAGCAAAAAAAAAAACCCTCACAAAAAAACCCCACAAAGACATCATAACTCTGCTGTCATTCACAGATCAACTAAATGCAGCACACTGAGTATATTAGTAACAAAAAACAGATCTAATTTTTAAAGTATTTTTAAGAACCCCCTTAAAAGTACCTGCCTGAGGCTATGTCAATATAACCTAATGCAGCAGCTCAGATACCAGAAGGCAAAAGTCACATTAATTGGACTAATAACAGGAAAAGTATCCTTTTAATACATTTATATAATGCTGACAGGTAGCTCAAGAAAGCTGCCACACTGTAAGCCAAAAATCACTCAGTAACTGTGTTCCCACTCATGAAAACAAAAATTTTAAAAAAAAATATACATAAACTTTTTATTTCTTTAAATCAAACTGAACTTTGCAAAAAAACCCCAACATAGTGCATGTGTGGGAGGGGTATTCTCACCCTGACTTATGCTTTCTATACCAGGTGATGAAATCAAGGCAAACTTCAATCTTATAACAACTAAGAGAAGTATTAAAGACAAAGAATAGAGAGTATTTGCGAAGAAAGTAAGAAGAGGAAATCTTAATATATGCCACAACCACTTGCTCAGGGGCTAAAAAAAACAGTGTAAAGAGAATTTCAGCTCTTGGCTCTATTTCTGACATTAACTTATTATTTGACTTCTGGCAAACTACTAATTATGCTGCACTATGTTTCAGCTTTTCTATCAGCAAAAGGGGTTTGATGGTATTTACCTATCTCCTGGAAGCAGGCTGAAACCCAAAAGGGGAAATGTTAGAGAAGTACATTCATACAGGGAGGTGGAATTGTTTACATACGGGGATGAAAAGAGAAAGCAGGACCTTGACTGTGGGAACATTCCTATTCTGGCAATTACTAAGGGACTTCACGAGAATGAGCAGTAAGGGTCACTTTAACCAAACAGCCCAAACAGTATGCGAGGGAGAAAAAGTCTTATTAGTATTATGATACCAAGATAAGCAACTGAAAAAAACCCCAACCCTTAACTCTTCATAATTAAAGTTATACTATCACCAATGATTTCTTACAAAGCCTCTTTTAGAAAAGTATCTGGCACCACCACACGGCGAGAGAGTAAACTATCGCTTCAAATGAGAAGTGATTTATTGATCATTAGAAAATCAGATTTTCACTAAACGCGTGAAAACGACAATGAAGAAAAAGTCTTAGGACCCTACAGTTTCTCTGACATAAAATGCTGCCTGTTTGGCAGCTGTCTACGGTGTAAGACTATAAAACCACTGAGAAACAAAACAGTATTTTAGCTTTAAAGCTACACAAGACTTTCTGCTCTCCCGACCCACGGACGCTTTCGGCCGCGGCTAAAGGCACCCGCACCGCCGCCGCGGCACCTCCGCCCACCGAGAGCGCCACACGGCGGACTTATTTCCTCACTATTCACAAAGATAATCAGATTTTAGAAAAACGGCCCCTCACATCAAGAGCGTATATTTGAGCGCTGTGAGGAAAGACCGGCAAGGAGGGGGTATGCTGTTTCCTGAGGCGCGCCCGGGAGGCGACCGCCCAGCAAGGCAACGGCGCTCCACACCGCCACCTCAATTTCTCCACAACTTACCAGTTTCCTTTCCGAAATGACCCTTTTCTGCCTCAGCCGCCTGTTCTTTGAGCACCTCGCGCAGCTTGTGGAGAAACTCGGCTGCCGCCTCCGAGTGCAATGAAGAGATGGCACACACAGCTCCAGCCCCTCCTCTCTG